TCTACCAAAAATGCAAATAGAGTGTTTAGCACAGTCACAAGATATAAGATCAGTATACAAAAATCAGTTGGGGGGCTTCCCTGGTGGCGCAGTGGTTGAGAGTCCGCCTGCCGATGCAGGGGACGCGGGTTCGTGCCCCGGTGCGGGAGGATCCCACATGCTGCGGAGCGCCTGGGCCCGTGAGCCATGGCCGCTGAGCCTGCGCGTCCGGAGCCTGTGCTCCGCAACGGGAGAGGCCACAACAGTGAGAGGCCCACGTACCGCAAAACAAAACAAAACAAAACCAAAAAAAAAAAAAAAAAAAAATCAGTTGGGTTTCTGTATAGTAACAATTAACAACTGCAAGTTGAAATTTTAAAAATCATATTTTCAGTAGCAACAAAAATATTAAATGCATGATTTCAAGACTTACTGTAAAGCTCAAGTAATCAAAACAGTATAGATATATAGATCAGTGGAACAGTATAGAGGATCCTGAAATAGACTCAAACATATATAGTCAATTGATTTTTAAATAAAGGTGTCTGGATAATTCAATAGAGAAAGAATATTCTGTTCAATGAGTGGTTCTGGAAAAAATGGATTTCCACATAAAAAAAGAGTATTAATCTTTAAACAAAATCATAAACATAACTTGAAATGGATGATAGACCTAAATATACAAGCTAACACTGTAAAACTTCTAGAAGAAAACAAGATAAAATCTGTATGACTTTGGGATAGGCCAAGGTTTCTTAGATAAGACATAAGCATGAACAATAAGGGAAAAGATAAGTCTCTCCACTTCGTAAGACACTGTTTAGAAAACAAAAATGCAATTCACAGACTGGAAGAAAATACTTGCAAAACGTATAGCTCATAAAGGACTTATGTCCAGAAGAGATAAAGAATTCTTTTCATTCCAACCCAATTTGTTTAAATGGTCAAAAGATTTGAATAGGCTGATGACACTAAACCAAAGAAAATACAGAAATATCAAGTAAGCCTATGGAAAGATGCTGAACATCATTAGTTGCTAGGGAAATGCAAATTAAAACCACAATGAAATATCACCTCACACCTGTCAGAATCAAAAAGACAACAAATAACAACTTTTGGCGAGGATGTGAAGAAAAGGGAACCCTTCTGCCCTTTTAGTGGGAATGTAAATTGGTGCAGCCACCTATGGAAAATAGTATGGAGGTTTCTTTAAAAATTAAAAATAGAACTACTGTACGATCCAGCAATTCCATTCCTGGGTATTTATTCAAAGAAAACAAAAACACTAATTAGAAAAAGATATATGTACCCCTGTGTTTATTACAGCATTATTTACAATAGCCAAGATATAGAAGCAACGTAAGTGCCAATCAATAGGTGAATGGATAAGAAGATGTGGTATATATAGATATGTAAAACATCTATTACTCAGCCATAAAAAAGAATGAAATCTTGTCATTTCCAACAACACAGATGGACTTGCATGTATTATGCTAAGTGAAAATAAGTCAGACAGCGAAAGACAAATACTGTATGATTTTACTTACATGTAGAATCTAAAAAATAAAACAAATGAACATAAAACAAAAGCAAACTCATAGATACGGAGAACAAACAGGTGGTTGCCATAGGAAAGGGGGTTGGGGGGAGGAGAGAAATTGGTGAGGGAGATTAAGAGGTTCAAACTCCCAATTACAAAATAAATGAGTCACAGGTATACATGAGGTACAGTACAGTGTGGCGCTCTGTCAATAACTATAATTTTAATATCTTTGTAAGATGACAGATGGTAACTAGGCTTATCGTGGTGATCACTTTGAAATGTACAGAAGTACCGAATCACTATGTTGTGTACCAGGAACTAACATAGTGTTGTAGGTCAATTATACTTCAAAAACAAACAAGCAGACAGACAGACGCATAGAAAAAGAGATCAGATTTGTGGTTACCAGAGGCGGGGGTTGGGAGAGGGGGAATTGGCTGAAGGCAGTCAGAAGGTATAAACTTCCAGTTATAAAATAAATAAGTACTTGGGATGTGATGTACAACATGGTAAATAGAATTAACGCTGCTGTACGTTATATATGAAAGTTGTTAACGAGAGTAAAGTCTGAGTTCTCATCAGCAGGACAAATATTTTTTTGTCTGTCTTTTTTTTTTTTTTTTTTTCCTCTGTCTTTAATTTTGTATCTGTATGAGATGATGAATGTTGACTAAACTATTGTGCTGATCATTTCATGATGTATGTAAGTCAAGTCATTATGCTGGATGCGTTCAACTTAGACAGTGCTGTATGTCAACTCTATCTCAACGAAACTGGAAGAAAAGAGTATACATTGGAATGTCTAAAAATGAAAAACAAAACAGAAACCACAATGAGATACCATTTTCTACCTACTAGAATGGCTAAAAAGAGAATTGATAAATACCTGTGGTCCATTCATTGAATGGAGTACCACTCAGCAATTAACCGGTCACTGATACAACAAAGATGCATCTGAAAGCACTATGCAAAGTTGAAGAAGCCAGACACATACTACTACTTGCTCGTATGATTCCATTCATGTGAAATTCTCAGAGGCAATACTGTAGTGGTAGAAAGCAGATCTATGGTTGCTGGGAAGTGCAGGGAATGACTCCTAAGGGGCCTGAGGGAACTTTGGGGGAGATGAAAATATTCTATACCATGATTCTGAAGGTGGTTACACCACCGTGTACATTTTTCAAAACTCATCAAATTGTATACTTAAATGAATGACTTTTATAATATTTAAATGATACCTTAATAAAGAGATTTAATTTCTTTTAATGTTATGGGGACATAGAACACAAAAAGATGCTTTCCCCTTTGGTAACCGTAGGTTTGTTTTCTATTAGACAGTGTTTTTCGATTTCATTCCTAAGAACTATATATATATATATATATATATATAAAATACCTGGGAATTAACTTACCCAGAAGTAGGAGGCAAGTACAGACCACTGGGCGACATTAAAAGATGCCTTTGAGTAACTGGAGAAATATGTGGTAGGCCTGGATAGAAAGTCTTATTGCTGTAGAGATAGCAGTTCTCTTCAGCTTAATATAGTTTTGGTCAAAATACAATTGCGATCCCCTATAACATTAACAAAATAATTGTAAGAGTTACCTGGAAGAACAAATTACTGGGTGTAAGTAAGGCACTTTTGAGAAAGCAGACGAAGAGTAGTGGAGTGAAGGACCATTGCTCTACCAGATATTCAAAGGGACCCTCAGTTAAAATGGTCGGTTTGGCAGCACGAGGTGTAGATGACGGGCACACTGTAGAAAGTCCAGCCTAACATTCACAAAAGTTCATGATGGTAAATATAGCATTGAAATCTTGGTCTTGGAAGGGCAGACCAGCCAACTGGAATCTAAAATTAAGCAATTTCACATATTCATATCTTAAGATAAATTTCAAATAGCTTAAAACTGTGACCAAAAAAAAAAACTATTAGGAAAATGCAAAGAACTATATAGGTGAACATACCTGTAATCTTGAAGTGGGTCACGCCTTTCTAGGCAGAAACTTCATTTGTTCCTACCTGACTGCATAATCATAAAAATTTTCAGGGTGGCAGATAACATAACTAAACAAAATTATCCACATTGTATAAAGAATACAACAGGTTACCTAAATAATAATGATGCTACTGCTGCTGAGGATAAAAAAAAAAAAAAGACATACTCAAGTAGAGAAAAAGGATAAAAGATATATTTACAGTTTTAATATTTTACATAGCTTTTGTCTCAGCAAATGTACTCATTTCTTTCTAAATAATCTTGGATGGGGGAAAAGTTTTATTTATAAGGATATTTACTTCCTTATCCCTTACCAATGGAAAAGGTTAAAAGCAATTAAAATGTCCAACAGTAGGGGATTGGTATAATTTCTAAGGCTGCCATAGCACATTACCACAAACTGAGTGGCTTAATACAACAGAGAAATTTATTCTCTCACAGTTCCAGACTCTAGAAGTCTGAAATCAAGGTGTTGGCAGGGCTCTGCTCCCTCTGACGGCTCTAGGGCAGAATCCCTCCTTTCCTCTTCCAGCTTCTGGTGGCCCTAGGCTTGTAACTACGTCACTCAGATCTCTGCCTCTGTCATCACATGTCCTTCTTTGCGTGGCTGCACTTGGTCGTATAAAGGCATCAATCATTTGATCTGCTCCCTCCCGCCCCCGCCAATCCAGCATGACCTCATCTTAACTATGTAATTACATCTGCAAAGACCCTGTTTATAAATAAGGTCACATTTTGAGGTTCCAGGTGGACAAGAATTTTAGGGGGGGACACTATTCAACCCAGTACAGATGATATAGAAGAATATCTAAAGATATAGAGAAATGTTTACAAAATATTATTGAATAAAAAAGGTGATTTGATACAATGCCTTTAAATAAAAATATCATGTATAATAGATCCAATAAAAGCCTGAAAGGGCATTTACCAAAGCATTGCTAGTGGTGCTAAGTTGGGAGAGGCTTGAATGCTTTTAATTGTGTTAATCAATTCCTGTATTTTCTAAATTTTTTGCAATGAATATGTGTTTCTTTGATAAAGAGGAAAAATAGTGAGCCTTTCTTGTCTAGGTTTTCAAACTATAGGTTTAAAAATGAATTCATATTCTTGATTGCTACAACTTTTGTCTAATGAGTTAAAAATAGCATTTACAGAGTTCAAAGTACATTTTTAAATGTCATTTAAAACAAAGACTATTTCAAAGTTGAATACTTCCCTATTATACAAGATGCTTTTGTTTTTCCAAATTATAGGCAATTTGAGGTTTATGGGTTTGACATGCTCCTTTTAAGTGTTTATTGTCTTTGGTGTTATTAGAATTTTCCCTGACTCTGTAATAGTTAGATTTGTCACTCCATCCAGACACAGATGTTCTAGGTAAACATAAACTCCAGGACATTCTAGCTACATGTCTCTAGAGCACTGGTGAGATATTTGGAATGAACAATCGCCATGTTATTTGTTGCTGTTTTCCTAGGCAAGGAATTGTTCCTCCGGGTCTCACAGAAAATGAGTTATGGAGAGCCAAGTACATCTATGATTCAGCTTTTCATCCCGACACTGGTGAAAAGATGATCTTGATAGGAAGGATGTCAGCTCAGGTTCCAATGAACATGACCATCACAGGTTGTATGATGACATTCTATAGGTGAGTTCTGGCAACGTAACGACAGTTTGTTTGCTTTATATTCCAGAAGCTTAAAGTACATTTTTTTATGTGAGTGGTTTCATCGAAATAAATGTCATTTCATGTGGCGTTTCATTTTGTATAAATGTTGCAACTCTAGGGGGTTGTTTTACCTTTTCCCTCTGTTGAGTAGAACTCTCCTTGTTGCCCAAAAGGAGGTTGAATTTCTCCCTAAATCTTAGACCCAAAAGAAAATGAGAAAGAAAATAAAACGATCCTCTAAGCAGATTCTGTTTAATCCATTCATATGCTCTAGGTATAAGTATAGGTGTAGGTGTAGACATGTAGTGAGGAGGGACCAGAAATAGCCTACAAATGGCTTTTTTCCCTAAGAGAAGGGACCTGACATTAATCACATTAATTGGGTGCCCACTCTTTGCTGGGCTCCCTTACAAATTTAAGATAAAATTTAAATAAGTTATCTCCATCCTCACCCTAACCCTCTGAGTTTGTTGCTATCCATATCTAACGAATGAGGAAACTGAGAATCAGACAAGATAAAAATCTGCCTAGCCACACCGGTCCTCGGCCTTTGACCCAGAACACACAGTCCTGGACCCAGCGTTCTCCCTTCTCCAGTCCATCTCCTCTCTGGTTACTGGTGCTCACGTTGTCCATTCTGCATGGCGGCTGGTTCACAAGCGCTGGTGGGTACGTGATGGATCGATCTGTTTCAGGACCACACCGGCAGTGCTGTTCTGGCAGTGGATCAACCAGTCCTTCAATGCCGTGGTCAATTACACCAACAGAAGTGGAGATGCTCCCCTCACTGTAAAGTAAGACTGGAAGATTTAACTGTCCTCTGCACTTCTCTGGGGTTCATTTGAGTCACTGGTGATGCTCTCCTGGTTAAAAAAGTATATTCGTACAAATTGTTTATACGGTTTGGAATCCTAGGGAGCATAGTTTTCAGTAGTGTTTCTTTTCCTCCCTTTCTATGTAGGTAACGGTTTTTTGCAGCCTGCCTTTCCAGACATCATCCATGCCGTTAGTGGCTCTGGTAGGAGGACATGGCTCCCACACCCTAGGGCGCATCCCCGCCTCGCCCCCGCAGAACACACAGCAGGCAGCTCAGGGCTGGCCTGTGTGACATGACACACTGTACCCCCATCCACCCTGTGGGTGTAGACAGATACCAACATCAAAAGTAGCAGAATCAACAATGTGATCTCTGCAGAAATCCAGGGGAATTTTGTATCTGATTTGTCTTTAAAATAGGACGCCTCCGGAACCCAAAAGAAAGTGAATGGATTTAAAATTTTGCCTCCTGTGAAAAGATGTTCAGATAGACTAAAGTGATTAGTGAACCAAAACTTTGAGCCTAACTTAGTAACACTTCAAAGCGTTTTCTTTTTTGTTTTAACTCTTAAATTGCTTTTGACCATCTGTAGTCTTCTATTATCATCCTAGGGAACAAAGAATATTGAAATCTGCAACCCAGCAGTGCTGGTCACACCTTCATTTCATCCAATCCTTGAATTAGAATTTATTTTAAAGCAAGAGAGAACTGCTTGGGCTTAATTGTATTTTGAGGATGAGACTTTTAGTCTTTTTATACCATAAGATGTCATTTTTAGAATGGCGGCACTGCATTTTTACTTTCAGTATGTATAGTGATATTTTGAGAAGTATTTTTTTATTTAAGCAAATATGCTACAAACATTTAAGCTAATATGCATTTTCCCACATTTGTAGCTTCCTGCACAGTCCCTGCTTCCTTCCCCCAACCACCACGCATGCGTATTCTCTATGTCTGCTCGTTTGGCGTGGTAGTTAGGTTCTATGTGAAGAATGCCATTTTTGTGTGGGTCTGCGTGCTTTTTCTCTGAATATCTCTATTTGTAGAGTGATGACGAATGTTGTTCTGTGGGATCTCCTTTTTAAAATTTATCTTATTGAAATACAGTTGATTTACAATGTTGTGTTAATTTCTGCTGTACAGCAAAGTGACTCATTAACACATACACACATACACACATTCTTTTTCATATTCTTTTCCATTATGGCTTATCACAGGATATTGAGTATAGCTCCCTGTGCTAGACAGTAGGACCTTGTTGTTTATCCATTCTATATATAATAGTTTGCATCTGCCATTCCCAAACTCCCAACGCATCCCTCCCCTACCCCGCTCCCTCTTGGCAACCACAAGTCTGTTCTCTATGTCTGTGAGCCTGTTTCTGTTTCTTTGATAAGTTCATTTGTGTCATGTTTTATGGAATCTCTATTCTTAATCTTGATTTCTTCCAAAAATGTTGGGCTTGAGTTTTCTGACGCACACTTGTTGTTTATGTACCATTTTCCTTCTTTTCAGTGAATTGGGAACAGCTTATGTTTCTGCAACAACAGGTGCTGTAGCGACAGCTCTAGGACTCAATGCATTAACCAAGGTACTCAGATTTTTATTTCCATAGCAGTAAAGCTTCTTAATTTGTTCTCACCTGCCTGGCTCTAAGTCTCTCTGTTAATTTCTCAAAATAGTTCAAGTCCTATGACTCTCTTATTATAGTCATTATCTCCGACTGCTTTCTTAAAGTGTATCTTTCAATACGTTTGGGAAGGAGTGTCACTAATAACGTCTGCCAAGACCCTGGTCTGTACCTGGCACTGTGTATTCAATGCTAAATGCTCACCCATCCATACAGCCCACCAGAGGCTGGGTGCCGGGCTGGGTACCTCCAGGCACTGCCCTGAAGAGGTAGAGGAGTCAGCATCTGAACCCAACACTGTGGGACTCCAAAGCCCCTGCTCCATCAGCCACATAAAGCCATCAAAATATCTTGGAAGTCTGCCTTGTCCCAGTGTGCCCAGGCTGGAAATAGAAAGTACCTCTAGGAAACCAAGTTTTGAACGTACTCTTGGCCCAAGTTTCTATACAAATAGGGCTCTGCATTTGTAGAGGTTTTCAAGAAGAAATAAGTACTTGCATTCAGCATTACAGGAAAAATAAGATCTTGCTTTTGGAATTATCTTTTCTGCAGCATGTCTCTCCGCTCATAGGACGCTTTGTTCCCTTCGCTGCGGTAGCTGCTGCTAATTGCATTAATATTCCATTAATGAGGCAAAGGTAAGGTTAATATGCCCTCTTAGAGAACACTTGTGCTTGACAGTAGGGTCTTATAATAATCTGCTTTGTTGAAACTTAAATAAATTTGTTTTATTTTAATATTTACAGATGAAGTTTTATGAGATCTGGGATCTGCTTCCAAATAATCTGGTTTTGGGGGTGAGGATGGGTCCATTGATGAAACAAGGTCAGCTCTGAGTTGCTGATTATTAAAGCAGGCTGATGGCCGTATGGGGTTTAGAACAGTCTTTCTACCTCTGTATAATAAAAAGTTTAAAAAATAGATCTCAAACTTACGTCTATGCCTAGAAAGCTTCTTCTATACAACAGGTTCTTCACCCCTTCCCCCCAAATTTTCTCTTGGGGTTTCAAGTAATATTAATCTATATCTCTGGAAGTATTTTTTAGTGCTGGCAAAAATTAGAGGAGAAGAAAAAACGAGAAAAAAGCATTTTGGAATGGATAACGAAAAACAGGGTAACAGTAGGAGCTATAATCGTAGCAGTAGTGGCCTTAGTTAAATATGCTATAGTTCCGTGTACTTGTGGCGCCTGTGTCAGTACAGTTAGTTTATTCTTTAGTAATTATATCTACCTCTCATTTGGAAAGTTGCTCAGATTTGCACATGAGCTTAGAAATCAGCCTTATCTCTAAGTTAGCGTGTTCACCTGTTGAGTCCTATTGTTGTTCAAAATGCTACACCTTTTTTTTTTTTTTTACAAAATTTACTAGCATTATTTTACTTGTGTGTCTATCACACGAGGATTAAGCATGTTTGTGGTTTTAAAAATAGACTTATTAGTGCCAAAAATGACACTGGAGTGGATTTTTGGATTAAGTAGGGACTCGGGCTTTCACAGCTTCAGTGCTGTTTCCAGCCATTCCGCGAAGGCACCCGTGAACTTCTTTGCCCGTTGTCTTGCTCTCTAGGGAACTCAAAGTTGGCATTCCTGTCACAGATGAAAACGGGCACCGCCTGGGCGAGTCGGCAAACGCTGCTAAACAAGCCATCACGCAAGTAGTCGTCTCCAGGATCCTCATGGCGGCCCCCGGCATGGGTGAGTAGAGCTTTGCCATCCATTCATTTGTTCGGTACGTTTCAATCAAACAAGCGTTGGTGCACCAGTGAGCAATAACCGCAAAGGATCCCTTCCCTTAGTGGAACTTACTTTCTGGCGGGGGAGGCAGAAAACTAACAAAAATAAGTAAAATATGAATAGGTGAGATGGTTATAGAGCTAAGCGGTGGGGGGTGGGGAAGAGGGTTGGGGATCTTGGGGTGGAAGTGCTATCGAACGTAAGTCCGTGTGCCCCACATATAGTGAGGCCAAATGATACCAAAATGTTGGGAGTTTGGAGCAGAGAAAGATTTATGGCAGGGCCATGCAAGGACAACGGGTGGCTCATGCCCCCAGAAACCCCCCAACGGTCTCAGCAAAGCATGTTGAAAGGCCAGGTGAGGGAGGGGGGGCACAGGGTGTGTGATCAACTCATGCACAATTCTCTGATTGGTTGATGGCGAGGTAACAGGACAGTTAACATTATCAATCCTTAGGCACCAGAAGGTCTGGGGGCTACGTGCTCATGATCATCCAACAGTTAATTTCTTCCATTGGGTGGTGGTTTTTAGCATCTGAAAAACTCGGGAAATATCCATGAGGTACTGTTAGCTGGGTACTTCAGAGAGGAGATGCAGCAGAGGATATGGGGAAGGGGTCTGTCCCAGGAAGACCCCGTGCGGTCCTGCTTGGTTACAGAAGTAGACTGGACAGATGGGAGCGAGGGAGCCAAGTGGTTCCAGGGTCGAATATTCTGGGCAGACGGAACAGCAGGAGAGCAGGGAGCTGTGCCCAGTGTGACGGAAGCATCACAGGAGGCAGGTGCAGCGGGAGGGGAGAGAAGGGTGTGGGAACAGTAGAAAGGAATAGACGAGGCCCCAGCGGGCAGAACGCAGATGGCCCTGCAAGCGTTTGGAGCCCTGGCTTTTAGTCTGAGGGGTAGGAGGCCGTGGAGGGTTTCGAGCACAGGAGTGGGAATAATAATCCGGCTTAGGTTTTAACTGAGTGACTCAGGGTCCTGCGTTGAGAGTAGGCTGAAGAGGGACCAAGAATGGTGGTTGGAGACTGTTCAGGAAGCTGTTGACTGCTGCAGGCAAGAGATTATGGTAGTTGGACCAGGGCAGTGACAGTGAAGGTGATGACAATTTGAAGGGAAAGAATTTGATCTTTGTAAATCTTGAAAAGAAACTTCCAAAAGTTCTTGAATAGGAATAACTTCTACTGAAGATTTATTCGTATCAATGGGAAAACCTTAGAGCATGAACCAAGTTGGGTTATTTATAGGAGCTATTAATATGTGACTCAGTTTTGTCCCTAGGGCCTGGACTCAACATAACCAAAAGCAGAAAATCTCCATGGTGATTTAGTTCCCCTGAGAATCTCTCGTCCACTCCTAAGGCTTCTTCAGCTACCCTCAGACCAGGGCTCTCGAGAAGGTTCTCAGACTTACTCAGAAATCAGAGGGCCCGGGAGTACATAACTCTTTGCAGAAAAATATAAATCTATATTTTACAGAGAGAAATGAGTATGTTTACTTTCCTTGTCTAAATCAGATGCAAACAGCACTTGGCTATTAACTAAACTCTCAAAAGAAGCATACTTAATCAAGTGCTGTCAGGTTTTCTCACTAATATTTTTTGTTGTCTTTAAATTCCTTTTGTCACCGGGAAAGCTCATCAGCAGACAGTAGGAGTGGGCAAAGGAAAGGTGAAGAAAAGGGCATGAAAGAAAACTTGGAGGCGCATTCCAGCCAATTGCACTCCAGCTAATTGGTTATCTGATTTAACCACCATTAAGTGATTTAACAAAGAAGCACCTCAGTGCCCTCATGAGACAGCAGTGTGCACCGTAGGGGTGAGTGAATGGTGGAAACCACAGTCGTGAACTGTAGACCAGGAGTCCCCTGAGTCCGGGACCAGCATGTTGTCAGTAACCTACGAGGAGGCTGGGGAGGCAGCCCCAGAACACCTGCTGAGCCCAGATTTCCAGTTTGCCGAAATCAAGGTGGCCATTCCGGCTTCTACCCTGGGTGGGCTTTTGGTTTTGTTCTTTCCCATTTTGAAATAAGGACGCTCCTCTCTGAAGTTCAGCCGGCCCAACAACTTTGTTTCCAGTGGCTTGGTTACTTTAAACATTATTTAGTCCCCGGAGAAGGAACACAATCTTTCTATCCCAGCGAAATCTCTAAAGGTAATTGATACATTGAAATTGATGTGACAGTTTAGTCTGATAAAAATCATGAATAAATGAACTAACACTATCCAGTGTTTTACGTGCATCATTGCATCTAATCATCCTGGCTAGTTTGATACAATTGTGCCTATTATATAGATGAGGAAAATAGAAAACTGAGGCTCAGAGAATTGTTTTCCAGGCTCACCCAGCTAGCAAGTGGTCTGCGTGACTCAAAGCAGGAATCTTTATACTGGACTCTACGTGGGATGGACACCCCAGGAAGGCTGCATTTGTTTCATTGGTATAGGAGGGAGAAGTTCCTGATGTTTGTACTGTTGTGTATTTAATGTTAGATATAAAGTTCTCTTCAATATCATAAAATTTTCTGGCTGGCAAAGAGCATTGTGTTATTTTTCAAGAATCTAGAGAATGGAAACAATGGATTTTTTAAAAAAATACTAAGGTATTTTAAAGAATTATTGCAATTACTTTTACTCTGCCAGTGCGAAAATAGCCTAAAAGTAATATAAGCCTTTGTGAAATTGTTGGGGGGAACCAAAAGAAAGTGAGCTGAAAATAGACATGAAGATTTAAGTGGATCTGTCTTTACTTCCAGCCATCCCTCCCTTTATCATGAACACTTTGGAAAAGAAAGCCTTTCTCAAGGTAAGCCCCACTTCTATTTATCCTTGTCTCAATCCTTTCAGTTTGTTTTCAGACTTCAAATTGAAGTATTTCCCACATGAATAGTGAGTAAAGAATTTGAAGGCCAGTGGCAATTGGGCACTTCCGGGAATATTTTATTTCTAATATCAGATATTTGAAAAAGCTCTCATAAATCTTCATTTATTGAATGCTGCCCACTCCTCTTGAGAGGTTATAACCCGGGTACACATTCATCGTAGTCAGCAGTCGGATCCCTAGCTAGATAATAATGAGGAGATGGTGTGAATTTGGAATGATGTGTTTGTAAGTCCCGATACATACTATCAGAAAGGAAAAAAATAACCTGGAGTAGTAGCTTCACAGAACACTGAATCTAGTGCCCTGATGTATTTTTCTTTGGTGATCGTATCTAATAATCTATTCATCTGTCAGCCGCCTCCCCTCAGGGTCTGAAAATATTATAGGATGAAACTGTCACTGAGAAATCTCTGTGCACTGTCTGCATTGTTTTTGTAACTTCCATGATTTAATGCAATCATATGTATGCTACATCTTAGCTTTCCAGTTCTTGTAACAAGTAGGAAAGAGTGGGATAGGGTGACTCGTTTGGCTCCTGCTGTATCTAGAAACTGACACCATTACACCTGTGGGGAGGAATGGGTCCAGTTCCTTGCTGGAGGAGCAGGTGTGTTGTAAACACTGCAGCTCTCTTGGGGTGAATTGGTTTGGGTCTTAGCGACAGAACCGTCACACTGAGAGGACGGTATCGGACTTTGAAAAAAGGACATGGTTCACAGACCAAACACTTCCTGAATGATTTCTGTGATTAGGAGAATTCTAAGTGTCCAACAGGTAAATGTTCATTGACCTTTATTCACCCTATGGGCTCCATCCAGGCCAACACGAAATACTTTCAATACAATCACATTCTTAGAAAAATAAGCCAAGAAAGGATGCTTTGCAAAAATAGTAGTGTTGTGTGTGTGCCTCATCTGACCGGCATGTCAATGCACCAACCCCATGTGAGGGAAAGGGGACCCTCTCTTCAGCAGCCCCCTCCCAGTCTTCCCTGGGAGCTTTGGGTACGTGAGCAGATTGTATTCCCTGAGCTTCTTCCTCTGGCAATCTTACATGTCGATGTGAATGGCAAGATAGGGTGTCACAGTGGCTCTGTAGTGATTGATCTATCCCATTGCTCCTGGGAACGTTCCCAGGGGTGTCCACAGACCCCCGGGCCACCCCAGGAGGCTGCATCCTCAAATGCGCTGAGTCCCCGTCCCATCTCCTGTGAGGGTTTCTATAGCCTTAAGTGTAAGATTAAACAAAAATATAAAACAGTTACACTGATTTAATCAGTAATGCTATTAGTGATGACCAAAATGTAAATGTGACCTCATTTGACATAATTTACCTACTTCGATAAGCCCTTATTTTGAGGATTCATGAAAAGGCTTTGCTGAAGTCTGTTTCTGCTGCAAAATTTAGAAAAGATTAATTCTTTAAAGCTGCTCAGGGATTAGTTTATGTACTAGAACAGGGACTAGATCTTGAAATTACCAAATTATGTAAACATCTAAAACTCACCAACTTTGACATTTCAGTGATTTTTCAAATAATCTAAAAAAAAGAAAATTAATGCTCCTTCCTCTATCCATCCGTGCTTTCCTTATGGGACGTAATTTAGGCTTTGAGGGAGAAAACCTATCAAATGAACTTAGAAAGGGGGCCATCAACATTATCCTCCAGGATGCTAATAGGAAGTGACCCGTCCAGTGGATCCGTAACTTTGCAGACATGGAATTGATGCCCTGGGTTCTTCTCTGCTGGCTCTTGATCTGATAAGTCATTAGGATTATAGTCTTTCTGCAAGGGCATATGTTGACCCAGGCAACCTTTGGATTTGCCTGGTTGTTAATTTCTTCAGGTATTGGCATGCCAACCTTGGGAACAATGGAGAATCAAAAACCGTGTTTAATAAACCCAACTTCCCCTCCCATGGAGTTTAAGCAAAATCAGGTTTTTAAAGCAAGACCAGATTTCTGGGTGGATAACAAGGCTTGGAAATTGTCACCTCATCACGTTAGTGTGTCTGGCATAAAAGTGAACTTTGGCAAGAGAGGAATACTTTTGCAAGTGTGGGTCATTCCATCAATAACATATGATTGTCGTGAATTTGCAGGTGACTGTGAGAGCAGTTGGGAGGCCACCTTCAGTGACAGTGTGTCCCCGCCCTTGAAGCTTTCCCATCCCCTTCTCTCTGCCTCTCAAACGTCACCCAGCACCTAGTTAGCAGAGGTATGTCAGCAGCCTGGCTCTGGAGTGGAGACTCCTAATCTTGCCAGCTGCCGCTGCTGGTGGGACGTGATTCCCCGGAGTCTCACTCCAGGCTGTGGATACTGAGCACACGTGGCTGCTTACATGTGAGCTCATCATGGCGTGGGATTCCAGAAATTCCGTAGGAAAGTCTGCATTCGAACCTACATTCATGCTGAAGAGCTAGGTCACTGGGGAAGTCATGTGAAATGAACTTGGTCCTTTACTCTCCCAACTGCCTTTGAACTCCTGGGGTCTCAGCGTTGTTGGAAAAGTTGCCACGGTTACTCTCATATCTTGGTGGCAAACACTGGGCAGGAGACATAGCTGGGCATATTGTATCATTTTCTTGCTGGGACAGACAGAAATTGCTGTAGATACAGCCTGGCATTTTCTTCCATGAAGCGACCAGCAGATGATACCAGCGGTTAGCCCCTGTTGCCACACTGCCCTAGGCTTTTCACAGCAATACATGAATAAATATTGTGTTTTCCTCCCTTGTTTTTGTTTGTGGTTTTCAGCTTTGCTTGGTACCGTACCCTTCAATAATCATAGAGAGGTGTGCCACCTCGATTCCCCTCTGCCCGCCCCACTCCACTACTGAAGGGCCTCGTGTGGAACCGGAAGGGGCCGCTGGCATCAGAAGCCATGGGGCAGGGTTGGGGGAGGAGGTCAGAATAGCTCATGGGTCAGTCTGAGCACCTCGCTAGCTACAGAGGGTCTGGCTGCAGCTGAACTCGTTCGGACTTCTGTGGAGGATGATGCTTTGAAAAAGCAATGGCTAAACGTTGAGCTCTTCAGACATAACATCCCACTCCCATGTTCAGGGTTGCTGTTACACCAAAATATTGCATTTTGCCCAAGTAGCGAGGACTGTAGGACTTCACTGATACCTATGGCCATTACAAAAGCATAGGCAGAGCAGCTTATCTTCCTATCCATATGTTTCCATCTGCAAAGCACTTTCACATGCTATTTGGAAGGGCAGGCTTTTCTGAGCCCTTTTACAAAGGCTTAGAGGTCATTTCCTCAGCCGTTCATGTCCATGTGGGTGGCATCTGCCTGGGTCGGTTAGCCCTCTGATTGTTCCCGCAGCTCCAGCGGCCAGATGTGCCTCTCTGCAAGGATGTACTTATCTGGGCTTTTACCTTGAATATGACCAGACTCCTCTGCAAACATGAAATGAATTGAATGTTCTTGGCTTTTTTAAACGGTGAGCTCGGGGAGCCTTCGGCATGACTCATCCTTCCCCCCCACGCTTTATCTTTTCCCAAATGGAGCGCTGGCAAAAAGCATCAGCTGTGGGCAGGTGACTCACAGAAATCTTTGCAGTAAACCAAAAAGTTCACTGCTTAAAATCTGGTGCTTTTCCCAACAGTGTTCTTGAAGAATAGCTCCTGTGGTCTCTCTACTTTGCTGGCACTTTCATTGGGAATAAAGTTGATACGGTCTGGGTCAGATAAGAGCTGCTCGTTCCTTAAGTTCTAGTTCATTTATATTTTCTTTAATAAAAGTGGACAGCTCTGTCTACTCAGTAAATTTTCAGGATCGTCTGCTAATGGAGTGTGAATGTAGCATTTATTTGTTCATTCATTTATTTTATTCAGCAGCCCTTTGTTGACTGCCTGTTGCGTGCCAAGCAATGTGCTAGGTCCTAGCATCAGAGAAATAGGGCTTGGGCCCTGCTCTCAGGGACCATATAGCATGGGGGTGGGGAGAGGCACAGGGCAAATGGTTCCAATACACGGTGAGTACAGCGTGAGGCACAGAGGGAGCATAGAAGAGGTTTCGCCCCCAACTGCCCTAGGTGGGCAGAGGCTTGAAGACAACTGGCCAGGGACATCTGCTTTGCAGAAGCTCAGAGAAGACACAGAGCATGGCTTGTCGAGAGACTTGTAGATGGTCAGGTTGCCTGGGATGTGGGCCATGTGTAGGGAACTGACTGTACCATATATAAAAATCAACTCCCAATAGTTCATGGAATCTAAATGGAAAAATCTACAATTGTCAAACTTCTGGAAGAAAATATAGCAGAACATCTTTGAGATCTAGACTTGGGCAAAGATTTCTTAGACATAACACCAAAAGCACAGTCCATAAAAGAAAAAATTGACAAATTGGGCTTCAACAAAAGGTTAAAGTTCTGTTTTTTGAAAACTGTACAGAGATTGAAAAGACAAGAAACAGACTGGGAGAAAATTTATGCAAAGTATGTGTCTGATAAAGGACTTGTATCCAGAATATATAAAGAGTCCTCGATAATTTTTAAAGAAAACAACGCAGTTGGGTTTTTTTTGCATTTTTTTTATTGGATTATAATTGCTTTACAATGGTGTGTTAGTTTCTGCTTTATAACAAAGTGAATCATTTATACATATACATAGGTTCCCATATCTCTTCCCTCTTGCGTCTCCCTCCCTCCCACCCTCCCTACCTCACCAGTTTTTTTTTTTTTTAAAAGGCAAAAGTTTTGAACAGACATTTCACCAAGTATATATAGATATAAAATAATATCACATGTAAAGATGCTCAGTATCTTTAGTCATTGGGGAAATTCAAGTTTAAAACCACATTAGCTACCATTAAACGCCTATTGATGGCTAAAATCAAAAAGACTGACCATAACAAGTGTTGACAAGGCTGTGGAGGACCTGAAACTCTCATCCCCTGCTGGTGGGAATGTAAAATGATACAACCACTTTGGAGAAGAGTTTGGCAGTTTCTTAAAAAGTTAAACCTATGCTTACCATGTGACCCAGCCATTTCACTCCTAGGTATTTACCTAGAAGAAATGAAAACATATGTCCATAAAAGACAGATGTTCAAAGCAGCTTTATTTGTAATAGCCCAAAACTGGAAACAATCCAAATGTTCCTCAACAGGAGAATGAATGGAGTATCAAAGCAATACATTCCATGCAGTGGAATACCTAACCCAGCAATAAGAAGTCCTGAACTATGGATACGTACAAGAGCATGAATGAATCTCAAAACAATTACACAAAAAAGTAGATACTGTATAGAAAATCCTAGAAATTATAACCTAGTATATAATGACAGAAAGTAGATCAGAGGTTGCCAGGGAATGGGTACAGGGTTTAGGGAAGATGGTGGAATTGCCAAGGGCACAAGGAACAAGGAAAACATGAAGGATGATGGCTGTGTTAATTATTTTGATTGTGGTGATGGCTTCACAGCTGAATACTTAGGTCAGAACTTTTATCATACACAGTAAGTATGTGCAATTTATTGTATTTCATAAAGCTGTTGGAGGAAAAATCATTGGGAGGAGAAAGAATTTACTCATATCAACTTTTTGAGCTCTTACTTCATTGAATATATATCTTTTAAACTTGTGATTACTGTCTTTAATTCATTTAAAATATCCTCTGTTTGCACAATTCTGTGCTAAATAAGGTGTGTCCCTCCCTCACGGAGTTCTGTGATTATCTAGGGGAAAACCAAACATCCTCAGCTCACTTATTTAATCTCAGACTAAGTTCTGTTTAAGAAGTAGGGATGAAGGAGGCAGGATGGGATGCTGGGAAGGAGTCGGGAGGAGGGATGATATCCAGGTTGGGTTTCATGGGAGAGATCAGAATTCTCCAGGATCCTTGTCGTTACCAAGAGCCTTTCCAACAAAACCCTCTGCACAAGGTGCCATCAGCCTTTGGTTTGTACACATCCATTGTTGAGATTACACACAGCTGTTCAAGAGTCCACTTGACCTGAGGATGGGCTCTCATGGGTTCATCTTCCCTCAAGATCTCATTCAGGGCTTAGCTTGCCTTCCCATCACCAAGTCTGTGTACCCGCACAGATGACACACATCTGGGAAGTGCTAGGAAGAGGATTTACCATCTCCTTATGAAAATCCTTCACCATCAGACAGAGCCAGTTGCCCCAGATACAATATTTCCTTTTCCTGCTTTCCTTGGAGGGGTGGGGCCCCTCTGTGCGAGCTCCATGGTCTGTCTCTGCTTGATGACATCTCTCCCTTCCTCTCCAGTCCACGCCTCTCTCCCTTCACGTTCACCCATGTGATGTACCTCTTCGCCAGAGGAGTCTGCTCGGGGACCAGGGTATGCCTGTCACACAAGCCTCCTTGGGGTCATGATCTTTTAACAGCTTGTGTTGACACTTAACTAAGTTGGCTGATTTCATTACAGCCCGTTCACAACTTGGTTGCAGCTCTTTCAGTGGCCTTATTGATATAATCTATATATTTCGTTGCTCTTTATGTTGCATATTATGCTTTTTTAAAACTCCCTTTTGAACACTAAAAATCTAACAGCACTTATTCTCTAAAAGACCAACCAACTCGTTCATTTCCATTAACAAAAAAGTAACAGGCAAAAATTTGTCATGCCAGCAATAGTTTTAGCCATACCGACAGCAACTAAAACCAAGAAAGGAAAGGTGCAGAGGAGGAGGGGGGAGACTTGTTGGGTTTCTGCTACGTTCCGGGCACGGTGCTAGGTGCTTTATGAATGTTATCTGGCATATCTTCACTCACACGCTTTGAGGAAGCTGTCGTGATCCTCATTTTGCAGAGAAGGAACCAAAGGTTGGAGACCGTGCCCTTTTCCCACAGTGGGGATGAACTGGTAGGGCAGAGATTTGATTGCAATTTTGTTTGTCTTCCAGCCTTGGAACCATGCTCTACAGACCCCCAGCCAGGAGAGAAATTATAGCTAAGTGATAACCATTTCTCCAGCTCCCATATAGCCAGGCATCTCTCAGATTATACGTGCAAGGGAGAAAAATGAGAAGCCGCTTAATCTTTGCCTGTGCATTCATGAGCAGATCGAAGAGGGAAGTCAGGACTAACTGTAGCGCTGTTACAGTGTTATCCCTGCGTTTCACTAATCGCATTCCAGCTGGATCTTGTAATGTGGCGAGGTTCCTGTCCCAGTTAACCAGCAGAAGAAATTGTTTCTAAGAGCCTGTATAAAAAGTACTCAAAATAATTTATTTCTCAACACAGAGGTTCCCATGGATGAGCGCACCTATTCAAGTTGGATTAGTTGGCTTCTGGTGAGTAGAATTACTTTGATGTCATTAATTTCTTTTTTTTAAGATAAATATACAGCATTTGAAATGTGAGGGACAATATGGGACACACGTTTTGAAAATGAGACCATCCCAGAACATCTGGAACTTATGGTCCCAGTCATTAGCTAGACATAAGCTGTCTTTAGAGAAACCTACAACATTTGGGGCTATTTGTGTGATTCTTTTTTAAACTCCTTTTATCTCTTTGATTTAAAAAAAAAATTATTTTGGCAGTCCTTGGTAGTAAAATTATACGAACAGGACATATTTTTGTGAGGCAGCATAATACTTGAAAGAAAGAAAGGGCATTGTTATCAAAGTAAAATAATAAAAAAGAATCTGAAAAGTCGACCATTTCAAAAATGCTCTGATTTTTTTCCTTTTTTTTTAAGTTTGGTATTTGCTACACCTCTGTGCTGTGCTCTGTTTCCTCAGAAAAGGTATGTATTTGTTATTCTTCAGAGTGGTCATGCGTTTTAATCCTAAAAACCAGTTGAAGACACAGGTCCATTTCACTAGTAGGAAAGTTGAGTCTCAAAAAGATAATGAAGCCAAGCCTCTAAAAGGAAGAGATAAGAGGCAGAAGTGAAATGCATGTCTGTCTAATATCAAAATTCTCTTTGCCCAGCTCTTTTCTACCTGCTACTGTTACATTTGAAAATTCTTTATTCTTGTGTAAGACTCAGGTTAACTCTGGTGCCAATTTGCTCTTATAAGAATGTAAATATGGCTTGATGTCCAATCCATTGGCAAATGCGTCTATAATGCAGATATATTCGAATTTAAGTTCCACCCCCAGGGACAGCAGTTATATGCACTTAGCTTTGGTGGTTGGTATATTTGCTTCCCTTCTTCCTACTTAGGGTTTTTTTTTTCTTTTTTTTTCTTTTTTTGCCTTAAAAGCTTGATTGTGCACGTGTCTTTCATCACAAACTGCCCTTGAATCCTGCCTTTGGTGTAAGAACTGTATTGACAGGCATGAAATCAGCATCCCATAAATCTAAGGCTTCAGCTTTTTTCTGTTCTAACATCAAGGCATAGAGGAGCAGCATTTTGTTGTTTTGCTGTGGTTTGTGTTACCAGACTCCTGCCCTTGTAATATCCTTCGTGGGCCAGCAGGCCCCAAACATATGGCCTTTAATGCCCTAGGCTTTCACAGTGGGTTTGGGATGAGGTATTCTGTTCTAGAACTAACTTCATCAGGTCCCTCTACCTGATAGAAAAATCCATCTTTTATCCGGTCTTTCACTTCTGCCTTTGACCCCCACTGTTCTTAGTTGGGGATTTAAATTTCAAGGAGAGGGAACTTTTATCACCTTGATGCCTACAGCTAAGCCCCCCTTGAAGAGGGCGGGACCTTCAGAACCTCTGTTGAAGCCCAGTACAGATGAATTTCCTAAAGAGGAGCACTCTTACCTATTTAATTGTACAAACCCCAGAATCTCAGGGCTTAAGGTAAGACATGTTTATTTCATTAGCATATCGCATTGGAATGTGTGTTCAGCCCTTGACCTTGCGCTCGGTGACTTAGGAACATGGCATTTGGGTCGAGAAAGATCTGACTTCAAATCTCAGTTACACCTCCAGTTTCCTTATCTGGAAAATTAGGATAATCCCTGACTTGCCAGGCTTTTATAAGGGTTAAAACGCATAACGTCGGACCCCGAAACTGAGTACTAAGTCATACCCATTATCAGTATCATCAGCAACATGATTTTAAAATTACCCAAGTTCCCACTATATGGAAAAAAAATAGCCATTGTGGTTTTTTTCTAGTGTTTTTCTATATTCATAATTTTTCTCTTTTTTGCATATGTTTATAAATCTATATCCTACCTTTTTTTTTAAATTTATTTTATTTTTTTATTTTTGGCTGTGCTGGGTCTTCGTTTCTCTGCGAGGGCTTTCTCTAGTTGCAGCAAGCGGGGGCCACTCTTCATCGCGGTGCGCGGGCCTCTCACTATCGCGGCCTCTCCTGTTGCGGAGCACAGGCTCCAGACACGCAGGCTCAGTAGTTGTGGCTCACGGGCCTAGTTGCTCCGCGGCATGTGGGATCCTCCCAGACCAGGGCTCGAGCCCGTGTCCCCTGCATTGGCAGGCAGATTCTCAACCACTGCGCCACCAGATAAGCCCCCTGGCAGGAGTTCTTTAGACCCAACCAAGTTGTCAGTTACTTGCCGCGCAGTCGTAATTTGGATGTTTGGTGGTCATCTGGGTGGATCTTTTCAAGTCCAAAGAGATAGAGCAATAGGAGAATGAGAAAGACTGAGGGGAAAAGCCTTGGCCTCAGTGCGCTTCTTCACGGCCAGAGAACTGGTCTCTGCCAGATCCTGCAGGCGACGTCAGCTGCCACTTAACGGGCTACTTGAATCTACATGGCTCAGGGTAAGTCCCAGCCGCCCTTCAGAGGGGAGCCGTAGCCCAATAGGTGGATCGAGATTATGGCCTTGGAGGCCCCGCATTGGGTGCCAGAAAAGATGTTGCAGGAAAGAGAGTGGGGTGCGAGAGGATGGTCACATCCCAAGTCATGTCTGAGTCCCTGGGATGGCCGCCACGTGTGGGTTCTTGGCTTCGTGCAGGCAAGGATTCAAGAGCAAGACATAGTAAAGTGAAAGAAGGTTTATTCAGGGAGATACACACTCCATAGACAGAGCGTGGGCCATCTTGGAAGGCAAGAGGCCTCCTACCTTTTTGACCTCGTAGTTTACCACATCTCAACTATATTAAAGAACAAATCTTTTTTTTTTTTTTTTTTTTTTTTTTTTTTTTTTTTGCGGTACACGGGCCTCTCACTGCTGTGGCCTCTCCCGTTGCGGAGCAACAGGCTCCGGGCGCGCAGGCTCAGCGGCCATGGCTCACGGGCCCAGCCGCTCCGCGGCATGTGGGATCTTCCCGGACCGGGGCGCGAACCCGCGTCCCCTGCATCGGCAGGCGGACTCCCAACCACTGCGCCACCAGGGAAGCCCCAAGAACAAATCTTTTTTAAAGACTAATTATGTAGTGTTACCAAACCCAGGTTCGGCTGCTTGCCGCTCAGAAGCCAATAATTCAAGAGGCAAGTGTCAGTAGAAAGGAAAGGTGCTTTAATCATAAAAGCTGGCAGTCTGGGGAGAGGGTGGACTTGTGTCCAGAGACCAGCTCTGATGATTCTGCTCAGCCATGACAGTTTTTAAAGGGAAAAAAATGGAGGGGGAAGAATCTCAGCGAATCATCGAGGCAGGAGGTTGGATTCTGCATCATTCTCCGACGCGTTGAGTGCAGACTGGCTGACTCTCTTCACATGTTATCTTGCCCCATGATCTGCCTGCGGGATTGCCTAGGGAGATTCGTTGTGGGTAGAGAGCTAGTCATTTTTTTAACTGCTTACTTCTTCATTCTTCTTTTTATCTAGGAAAAGAATCAACAGGTTAGACAAGGCATGGTGTGCATTCAGGACAGCACAAGTCAGGAGTTAGGCTAATCGCCTAGTGATCTCATCCCTGTCATTAGGTTCTTTTAAGATTAGAGGGGAACAGAAATGGGCAAACAGGAAAGGGGCAAACGAGTTGCTTTCAATAACAAAATGTCCACAGTTTTTCTGGACAGTTTTTCTTCATCCTTAATACATATGCACATATAAAACATTCAAGTACATTTTTAAATGTATAAAGCAAGCACTAACAGTGGTCAACAAGCGATGTTTTTTCTCATACATTTTAGTATTTTCTGAAAGTTTTAGAATAAGTATGTTTTACTATACAATGGACAAAAGCAGATTAACGCAAGTGAATTTGTAGTGCTAAAAAATTCCACTGAGTGCACATATCTTTTTTTAATTAACGGTGAACATTTATGTTGTTTTCCTTGGGAAGTGGCGTGACAGGTTGTTTTCCAATACCATCAGGGTCTAAGAGTGTCATCACCATACCTCCTTGCTGGCAAAAGTGGTTTTTAAGGCTTTTAATAAGATGAGAGGTAAAAAGCGTATCTCAGTGTTGGGTTTTGATGATGCCTTTCTTTGATATTTAGTGACAGTTTTCTGAGAGGAACAGGATACTCGTTTTCTGGGCACGTGAAGCATTTTTCAAACAGGACTCTGTTGTCCCAGTCACGGGGGTGGGTGGGGCTACTCTCTCTCCTCTCTCCAGGTTCTAATTCCCACCTCTGCCCGTGAAATGACCCTGTCTGTCGTTTCTCCCTCCTCCCAGTTCCATGTCTGTGACAAGCTTGGAGGCCGAGCTGCAAGCCAGGATCCGAGAGACCCATCCTGAATTACGGCGCGTGTACTTTAACAAGGGATTATAAAGTAGGGAAAGAAACATCTTCAGAGGATCCTACCAACCACAAGTGTGGTGTAGCCAAGTTGGTAAGGAATATCCTGGTTCTGGTCGACAGGTGACAGATACCTTTTAACGATCCACGTTAGCCTTTTAGAGTCAAGCTGCTACTTATAGCACAGCACCTGGGGTGGCCTCCCCTTACATTTGAATCATGGTATCATTTACAGAAACACCCTTCCTGTAGCTTTTATAGTCACTGGTTTTTCAAAGACAATATCCCAACCCTCACCCAGAGTTTTCAAAAGCACCGCTAGGCATAGAGTAGATGTTCAGTATATTGACTGTCAGTCAATGAAAAGGAAATCTGTTTAAAATACTGAAGTTTTATCCTACTCTTGTTTCAAATCAAGGAGAGCTCAGTAGTGAGTTGAGAAAACACAAAAGCTCTGAAGCTAAACTGTAAAAGAAAATGACTCGTAAATATTAAGGACAGTTTACTTTCCTGCCCAGTTCGGGCTGGAGGCGACCCGAAGTAGATGATGAGTTCTTTGCATTTGTAGGATAAAAGCCCCTTCATACACCTCCCGGAAGTCAGAGTGATAGACAATTGTGAAAGGTCCCTGCTGTCAACAGCTGTGTGCTTTCGTATTGCTGGTGGATTTCTTCGGTTGAGTTTGAAATTTATTCTATTTTACATTCTTATGAAGATATCAATCTTACCTTGCACTTGTTGACTTTATATTCAATCATTTAAATCAACTAATCAAATAACGGAAATGCACAAATGTCAAATTTTGGAAGTATATTCGAAACCAACGCTGTATGACTGGGTTGAATCTGGCGTGTTTGATTTTTTTTTTTTTTTAGAAGCGAGAGAACAGTTCCCTCTGCCTACATGTCTTTTCTTGTCATCCTCGTAGATCTCTTTGGCGTTCAGAAAGATACGGAAATAATGTGTATGTGAATCAATGACTCAATGAATTTTACTTGAATGTTGTATATTACATTCCACCCTGTTTGAAAATAATGAACCCATGGACCACTGTTTACATCATCTGTAGTATCTTCACATATAATATATTTAATGTTAAGAGATTATGTTTCAATTCTGTAGAGGTTCAAAGGCATACGTGAGGTGGTCATTTCACTGAGTATAGACCACTCGATTCGATCTGTAATTCAGAATGTAGAAACTAGTTTGGGCAAATTTTTCCTGACACTGTGACCAGACTGAATTTCCTCATAAAGAAAAAATGGTGTGCCTCGTGTCTGTGTTTCTCTTTTCTCTGAAACGATGAATGGACCTGAAGGTTTTGGGCCACTCTGAGCCTTCCTTTATATACTGCCGGAATATTCTCATTTAGATTTCCTGTCTTAAGCCATTTGAAGCAAAAGAGCTTCCCCATGACATTCTGGCCTTGGATGTCTTTTGTGGCCATAGATGCTTCTCTTTAAAAATGGGTAAAAGCAGGAAATTCAAGGCAGAGCTCCACGAGGTGCTTAAAGGGCACTTTTAACAAGAAACTAAAGCCCTTGAGGCCTACCCCCACTCGCCCCAGCTAATCTCAGAATGCTTACCCCCAGTCAGGTGGCAGCTCCATGTCCAAATCTTAACCTTCGTTGAAAAATTAATGAGTGCCTGGTTGGAAGATTGACAAACTGACCAAAATTTTAATACACACCAGGATGAGATGGCCAAAGGATCATTACAAAAGGGATAATGAGCCTGGAGATGTGTCTTTTTAAACATCATCTGTTGAAGCTTCTGACTCTTGATGCTTTTATAGAGAACTATGAATTGTATAGTTGAATCATGGTTTATATAAAGGAACAAAATGAACCAAGATTGGCGATCTTTGCTGATCTCTTAGGAATACCTCTTCTGGAGAAAAGTTCACATGAAGTGCAATATGCTTGTAAAGGTAAATAGTTATTAATATTTCTAGCAACATGATATAAAGAATTATGACTGTAAGTATTAAACGACTGGCAGCTTTTTTTCAGTATTAGCACAGTGTCTGGCCAGTCTTGGAGTCGATGTATTATTTCAGTTCAACTGGATGAAATGTTAAATAAACTCAGAATGAAAAAAAATTCTCTCTTTTATTTGTATGTAAAGGATGATGCAGTTTTTATGTTATACTCAATGGTACCTTTCATTCTAACTTAATATCTGGGTACCATCAGTAACTCCTGATGAAGAGATATTTTTGTATTATGCCTTTAGCAGGAAATATATTTCTAGTCCTGGCTACCAGTTTTCCACCTTCTTGAACACCATAGAGGCTCCCACCCCCACCCCCCGGCAGCCCCACACAGCGTAATTCCAGGTACGTTCATTATGACACAGGGGGAATGAGATTCTGCCTTAGACCCTGATGACTGACACCCTTACACATGTGGTCAGGTCAATTTGCTTTTATATTGTTTGTCAGATTCTAATGTGGAACTAGCGTTTACCATAGTTCACAGAGAAAATCTAAATTCAGCCCAGGATTGGGGAGTGCCTTATTAAGAGACGTAAAAAAGAACTGAGCATTTTACCCACCGTGGTCACGTCTCTGCTCTGTGTTGCTACAGGACCTCTGTTTATCACTTAAATTATTGAAATATATTCAAGAGCTTGGGCCTAGGAGTCAGAGCCGGTACAATCTTGGTTGTACCCACTTTTAAAATAAACATATCTGGGCTGGTGACATTCTCTGTGACCTTCAGTTTTATTAGTTTAGATTGTTTGGAGAGAATAATTGAATCTACCTCATAGAGTTGTTGTAAACAAGATAATTCCAGCACAGCGGTTGACGTAGTGCCTGGCACAGAGTAACCATCCAGTGGATGATTGCCAATCGTCTACAGATGCTGGACGTGCATTCAAAATGCCAGTATATCAATCCACCGGTAAGATTTCAGAATCTTGGCGGCTTCCCCAGAGATAACCCACAACTTCACTAAAAGTAGCAGATTAAAGTGGCCACGGGGAGACACTTGAATCCATCCTTTTAAAACATCCAACAGTTAAGGTTTTGCCTAAATGAGACAGAGGTAGGAAAGTCTCTGCTCACAGATGAGAAGGCTGGGGCTTCAAGTAGTACAAGTTCAAGGCTGCTCCTGGTCGCTTGAAAACTATAGTGGCAGCCAAGGTCTGACACCTGAATCTACAGCCCTGTCCAAAAGTGTAAACGACTGGAACAGTCCAATAACATTAGTTTTTCAAATTGGTGTATTCTTGTGTATTCAGAATTTCACTAAAAGCCAAAGAAAGGTCAGGTTACATCTGTTAGTGATGTTAGAAAGTATCAAACTCTAGATATTCAAAGTATGGTCCATAGCCCAGCAACATCCAAGTTTGTTAGAAATGCAAGTTCTTGGGCCCCAGCCCAGACCTGCTGAGCCAGCATCTGCCAGATAACAGGAGCCCTGAGATCCCCGTATGCATCGCAGCTGGAGAAGTTCTGGCTGTGCCACATCTCTGACGCTCCCAGGGACCCGAGCTTCACTGGGTCAGTTTCAGATCAACTTCTAATACTCTGTGAATTTGCGTATTTGCCCCTCACCAGATTCCAAGGAGGCTTCCAGCTTCAATGTTGACGTTCTTAGGGACGTAGGGTCAACAAGCTCACGAGGGCAGGGATTTCCGTTTTGTCCACGGCCGTAGCTCCATCACCTAGAACAACTGGCACCAGCGAAGGGTCCCCATATGGTCATCGGGTTCATCCTGGGCTCTTTCTGGGAATCTGAAGAAGGGTCTTCACATTTCCGATTTCCAGGTGTGGAAAGGAAGCCACTTGGCATCACGGAGAGGTCATCACCAAGATGTGGAAAGAACAGGGAATCTGAGGGTTTCTGGGACCAGAGCTGGCCATGAATGTTATCCTTGGGAACCGAGAGGCAAAATGAGCATCCAATTGTACCCATTGTTTTGGAGCCAGCCCAACCGTCACGGATGACACCACTGCCCCTGTAGCTTTTGGAGACGAAGGAGCACTTGGGACAATACACATAGGGGCTTGTTGAACCCTCAAGGAGACCACGATATGCCCAGTTTTAAAGAGAAGGAATTTGAGGCTCAGAGATGTGGGCTGATTTGTCTAATGTCATGCAGTGGCCCAACTGCTATCTCAGTCCAGGCCTGTCAGACTCCAGTGTCTTCCGCTGTACTTCACAGCTTCTCCATCAATAGGAATAATTAGAATTAGCTTCGGTACAGCATTTTACAATCTTCAACGTGTTTTTATTTCTGCATACATTACTCCTTGTAATACCCCCAACAGTTCCTCTGAGCATCATCTCCATTTAAAAAGTGGGGAAACAGTCTTGAAGAAGTGAAATCACTTACCACCAACCTAACTTGGGGGATTCAAAGGATTATAAAAGATGTATTCACGTTCCCACACACACACCCACAAACAAAAGGTTTATGGAACATACGGAATTCCAGTAAGGACCCAACCAAGGTCACAGGCAGATCAGCAAGGTCATTTCCAGATAGGATCCCCTATTAGAGTAATAGGAACAATGGTTTTCACAGTGTGGTCCCTGGTCCAGCAGCAGCAGCATCACTGGGAACTAGAAATGCATGTTCTCAGGCCCTCTCGTACTGAATCAAAAACTCGAAGGTGGGACCCGGCCAACTTCTAACAAGCCCTCTGAGTGACTCTGACACAGTCCATTCAAACTTGAGAACCACTGGGTGGTTGTTAGGATGAATGCTAGAGTCGCGTTCAGTTCCGTTCTATGAACTGAGGCAGGCTAATCTCTCTAAACCTGTTTCCTCATCTGTAAAATGATGTTAATGCCACTTCCGTCATTGGGTTATTGGGAGGATTCAATGAGAATTAATAAATGGGCAGCACTTAGCCTGGCACAGGGCACACTCAACGCATTGTAGCTAAATTTATGCGATCCCCGGGGCCAGAAGTTTGACAACACTGTTGGTGATCCTACAGGGAAACGGGCACTCTCATGACTGCTGGTAGACATCCAAATTGCTGCAGTGTTCCTGCAAGACAGTTTGGGTGTATCTCTCAAAACTTATAAAAGCACGTACCCTCCTTAAAGCAATTTCACGTCTAAGAATTAATCGCACAGATGGATACACTCGGGTTCACAGGAGACCTGTCTACTCCTGGGAGGGAGCCATATGAATGGAATGGTCGGGGGAAGTGAAGGAAGGGGGAGGTTGGAGAATATTTCCTGAAGATGGTGAGAAACTGCCAGGTAGGAAAAAAAAAGTGTACACTATTGTGGGTAGTCCCAAGTATAAGAATAAATTTTCCCTTGGGAAAAAGAATTTTTTAATTTCTGAATTGGATTTTTGCAAGATGGAAGGATAAATAACAGTTGATTGTCACAAATATAAGCTAATTTGGGAAGAAAGGCTATCTCTGGATGGTGGGATTTTAAGTGATTTTAAAATTTTCTCCTTTATGCTTTTCTAGTTTTACAGATTTACTTCTGTTTCTGAACTCAGGACATATTAAATGCTACTTAAAAAAAAAAAAACCTGTAGGTTATAGTCCCAATTTTGTAATAATATATGCACTGATATGTATAAAAAGACATATTAGAGGAATATATACCACAATGGTTAACAGTTGGTATCTCTGGATTTACAGGTAATCTTTATTTTCTTTACAGCTTTCTGTTTCTCAGATTTTCTGGAATGTACCTGTATTGGTTCTAAAATCAGAAACACATCAAGTTCAGGCCGTTGAGTGACCCCCAGCCTCTCAGCTCCCAAGCCCTGGGATTACCGAGCCAATCATTGACCCTCCCCTTGATTCCATCTCTCTCCTGGAAATGATGGAAACAATATCTACCTTATAGACAGGCCTGAACCTGTGGTTTTGGAGCTCCAGGCCGGAGAGATCCGCAGCGCCGAGAGACGCCGCCAGGGAGCAGCATTGCCTGCAACATCGCGCGGCTGGAGCCCACCGATCCCCAGAACTGCCGGCAGGTGGCGCAAGGCAACAGACTGCGGCCCTCGAACGTGCATCTCTGGATTTCCAAGGCCAGGTCGGGAAGATGGTGCAGGAAGCCAGCAGAAGGACATGATCTCTCCAGCTTCAGGAAGCTGGAAAGATGCCGACAAGCAGGAATGGGGCTTATCGTACCGGGCACCTGACTCCGGTAGGAGGGGGGCAGTGCGGAACACAGAACGATTGTAGACCAAACCCAGCCCCTGCCCTCGGGGCCATCAGTGCTGCGACACAGGCCAATCACACCTGAAGCTGGCTCAGGGAAAGGGAGCTGGGAATCAGTGAGGGCTTTAAAGAGTGGCATCTCAACTGATACCGGGAAGAGGAGTAGAAATTTCTCACTGGGAGGAGAAAAGGGGCAAGAAGAAAACTAGGGCTTCTCCGTACCGGAATGGACTTCCCTTTCCATGGAAAGATCTGGAAACCAGGAAGAGTGTGGCTGAATGGTGTGTGCAAAGGAGGAAACTTTGGGGAAGATGCCACCAGGATCTCAGGGTCGTGAGGGCCCTTCAGTGCCCAGGGAAGGAGTGCGGGCTTCATCCTGAAAGCAGGGACTCCTTCTGGAGGCTTTTGTCCCGGGGAAGAACAACAGTCAGATCCTAACTCTGTCACTTGCTGTTTTTGTCATATGGGACCAGCCAGTTGCCCTCTCCGATCCTCAGTGTACTCATCTGTAAAATGGAGACAATAAATTGCAAATAATAAATAAATACAGACAGACAGACAATAAATAAATAAATACATTACAGTCTTGCTGTGAAACTTAAAATGGGTAAATGGAGAACCTGAAGTCGTGACTTTCCTTCCCTTGTCCTTTTATTTCTCTGCAATAAACCAAATGGAAAAGACAGACAAGCAGGCCATTTCCAGCATGTCACAGTGTCGGTTTGGCAAGTGTGACGTTTCCAGGGGCCAGGAAATCGATTCATCATGTGTGATTGCAATCAAGAACAAGTTCTTTCCTCGTATTCTCATTTACGATGAAAATGTATTTTAATCATGTGCAATCTCAAGAAAGATGGTAGCAGGAGAGAACAAGGTTTTTAATAACGCAAAGCTAAAAATAGAGACGAAGATGACGATGCTATTGAAATTCCAAAGGATGCCACCTCCTGA